CAATCTCTTGTAGACTGGTATTGGACCACTGTACTATGGCAAAGCTATAGCTCAGAGCTGGTATAACCCAGGTGTTAATGGCCTTAATTTTGTGCTTCCCAGATAGCTGAGTCCTGAGTACTTGTCGCAATCTCTTTCTGAACACAGTCAGAAGCTGTTGTTGCACGTCCCTTCGGGCAATTTTAAGGTTTTGTTGCATGCCTAAATATTTATATAATTGGTGTGCTTCTAGCTCTTTAATTTGATCTTCTTGGTTTATCAGGATGTTCTGGGTATTAACATTTCTTCCCTTTTTTACATGAAGCACCGCGCATTTATCAAGTCCGAATGACATACCTATATCACTGGTAAAGGATGATACTGTTTCAACCAGGTTCTGTAATTCCTGTTATTATTATTATTATTTTATTTGTCAACACTTTTACAAAAGGTTTTTTTTGTTTACTTGAGAGGGGGAGAATCAACTCCAACCACCTCAGGTATGTTCAATTTTAATTACTATTGAATGTTGAGAAAGCCTCTTACAATTCTGGCGGTATTCAGCAGCACCGCTTTCTGAGCTTTATTTATTACATGAGTTGGGAGGCCCAGCCTGTCAGTAGCTTCCACAGTAGACACCGGTATCAGGCCATTGCTGGAGATCACAATGCCCCTAACGGTTACTTTATTAAGTTTATACAAACTTTTTAACTCAGCTGCTAGACCTTGATACTTCCGAATTTATTATTATTATATATGGTGTGAATGTGTTCATATCTCACTATAATTATTATCCAACTGACAGATTATTATATTTCTAAATAAATGAAAAAAAAAATGGGACTTCAAGTATGACTTAAACACCATTTCATATAGGTAGTTTGTTTCTTTTCTTTTTTTTTCCAAAGTAATTATCGTTATATCTGTGAAAAAAAGCTATCGGGCTGAAGCCCTCCCCCAAAATTAAATCCTGGATCCACGAACAACCCAGTATGAATAAGATCTCTATTATTCAGCTCAATATGGGCCGACGACATATTGCACCAGATGAGCTGCAAGCTCTCGCTCAACACTATGACGTCATGGCTTTTCAAGAACCGAGCTGCCGTGGGAGTAAGGTTGTAGGATTTGGTCTCACATCGAGAGTTACTGCTCTAGGCAGTGGAGAGAGGAGGCCTAGGGCTGAATTAATGATCACTAACCCAAATATCGATGTGATGAGTCTTGAGCAATATACCTAGGCGGACAACGTAGCATGCTACATCAGATGGGGCAGAATCGCCTTCACCCTTGCCCAACGGAAGTGATATAGGAGAGGGTATATCCGCCGTGGAAGTGATCCCTGGAAGATATAGGAATGGAATCATCTTCTCCTACAGCAACTCATAAAGCACGGCGCGGGGTTCCAGTCGTACAGACCGGGGGGAGGGTGTCAGACTTGGTAAATTCATTGAAAGAGGCCAACTGATAGTGGTTAATGACCCGTCTGCCACTCCAATGTTCTCTGGACCATGGTGGCAGAGATGAGTAGATGTTATTTGGCCTCCACGACGCTGATAGGACACATTGTCGACTGGACACTCATATCGGAAACGACCTCCGAACACAACGCAATCGCATTTGAGCTGATACAGGATGCAAGATGCTCTCATGGTATAGACAGAGAATATATGATCGGAAGATAAAACTGCAGCTTCTTCCGGTCAGCGCTGGAGAGAAAGTTAATGGATGAAGAGTGAGACCCCGCGGTTGTTGACAATACCTGAATTACAAGGTACCTAAGATTACCGAAGTCATTAGGGATGTCTCGGAAGAATCCCTCCAACACCGTAAAGCGAGAGAACGATCTGTCTCATTGTGGTCGCCGGCCTTAACCACCCTGAAGAGAGAGCTCTACAAGGCCCGGCGGGTATATCAGAAGTGTAGTAACGAAGAGAGGCGTCCTGCACTTTGTGAGGAGTACAGATCTAAGGCTGGGGTATACCGGAATGAGGTGCTCTTACAGAAATGAAGATCTTGGGATCATTCATCCAGGAAGAGTCTGCAAAGAATCCCTGAGGTATTCCATACAGGGCGACCCTTGGAAAACTGACCCAGCAAGTCATTGTAGCCCTGAGACAATGAGGCACTCAGGCAGCCACTCTGGAGGAAACAGCAAAGATGTTTATTAAAGAGACATATCCCAGGGATGATCCATCACAGGATGATAATGGCCATGCATTTGTGAAAAGAGCCACGGTAGACCCGCCTGGGAGGGACCTGTGCCCATCACGGGACATTTGGGACCTCCGTAGGGCTGTGTAAAGGCAAAAGACTGGCCGGGCCCCCGGTTTAGATGCAATTGACGCGGTAATACTCAAGAATAGAATTCCCTATTTAGAGAATACGCTGCTTTGATTCTCAATGACATTTCTCATAGGGACAGCTCATAGGGAATACTTTCCAAGAAGCTGGAGAATTGCTTATGTAAGACTCTTCTATAAAGGAAAAGACAATGACAAGCAACTTGCCAAATCATACTGGCCTTTTCGGTCTCCTCTCTGTAATGAGCAAGGTATTGGAAAACCTGGTGGTCTTGAGCCTTCGGCCAGTCTTATCAAGATCGAGCCATCCACGGCAATATGGATCCACTAAAAGCACGGGAACCGCAGATGCCATATTGATAGTGCGTCATGACGTAGAAGAAAGAGCGGAGAGGTATGCTTCTCCTGTTTGACATATCCTCTGCATTTGACAGCGTGTGGTGACCGAGGGTTCTCCAGCAACTCCGGAAATACGAAAATCCCAGTAACCTATATGATATATTGAGAAGCTACCTCCAGTAACGGACATTGAAAATTAGAGGCATATTCTTTGAAGTAGAAGACACCGTCAAGAGGGGCTGCCCGTAGGGCTCTGTTCTTGTTCTCGCCTTGTGGAACCTACGAACGTTGACGAGTTGCTGGAGAAGCTCGAAGAGGAGCGGTTCCCTGCCACGGTCTATGTTGACGATTTGGGCGCCGTGGTGCCCTCAAACAGCATAGCCGGTATGAAAGCAGAAGCTGAACGATGCGCCAGCTTGGTAGGAAGATGATGCGAGAAGTAGTTGAAGATAGATGCCACAAAGATCCAGACAGTTCTCTTGAGAGGCACGACTGACAGAGTTCATTATAGTATGTTGAATATAGAAGAAGAAAGGGTAGGTCTAAGTAAGGTTTTCACCTACCTTGGCATAAGAATTGGTCGGAACTTCAACCTGCCTCCTCACTTAGACTCTGAGAACTAGAGTTACAGTGACCCTAAATGGACTCAGTCGTGTCGAGGGCGCCTTCTGGGGTCTCCGATACACAGCTACAATGACTATTTACAAAGGAGTAGTTTTGGGTATTCTGAGATATGCGTCCCCAGCCTGGAACCTAAACGTCTTGCACCGACTTGCAAGAAGAATAGATTAGCATCGATTCAGAGATTGGCTTTACTTCGGGTCAGTAGAGCCTATAGAACGGTGTCGCATGAGGCAGTGCAAGAACTGAGAGGGGGGATACCTCTCGATTTCCTCCTGCAAGAAGACTATTACTTCTTCAAAATGAAAAGAGAAGGTTCGACGGATCAACCAGAATATCTAAAAATGAGCCAAGAAGATGGAAAAGAATTATCAGGGAGGAAATAGTTAATGAATAGAACCGGCGAAGGATGACAACTCCCACAGGAGGCTACCCTAAGGAAGTACCTCCCCACAGTTAAGTCACGATTAGATGCAAGATAGATCCTCCCGGATTACTGAGTGTCTCAACTCCTCATGGGACATGAAGGCTTTCGAGCGAAGCTCGTTAATCACGGGAAGAATATTGATCCGCTATGCTCCAACTGTAACGTTCCGGAGACAGCCGAACATGGGGTCGTCGAATGCACTGCCTATGAGACACTAGGGGCTAAACTCTTGAGAGAGACAAGGATACATACGCTGACAGCATGTTTCCCCTGCTAATGAGCAGAGAGAATTACCCACATTATAGAGAATTCGTATACGGGTGGAAAGATGCTGTAGGCACTACACAATTTAATCTAGGAAGAAGAGAAGAAACTTAAAACAAGCTGCAGCTTCTTCTAGGACCGGCTTCAGATGGAAGAAGAAGGAAGAATGGAGAAAAGGAAAGCCGTGGGCTTGTGCACAGCTGTCATAAGTCTGCACCACAGTATCCACAATAAAAATTATAAATAATAAATGCTAAACAAATTTTAATAAAATCGATCTGTACTGTCAGCAGTGGCGTACGCATATAACCTGCGTAATACCCCTCTGCTGATACAATCCGTGCCGACTTACAGGCAGGAAGAGAAAAAAAAAAAGTTCCCAGTCAGGCCAGCCTCACCCTAAATTCAGAGACCAGTGGGATTGCAAGAACATTTTTAAAAAAGTGATGGTATCATTTATTGAAAGTATGAACATTAACATCCCCAACAGAATAAAAAAAAAATCAATCATTTTGAATTTAACCATATTTATTTCATCTTGAAAATAATATAGCTAAAGTTTTATTGATACCTCCGACACCGCACCGAACTTCATCCTTTCTTTTTTTTATATTTTAGTTAAAGACAGAAATACACTTCCCCTGATAATGCTGAACTCAGATATGGATATTTAAGGAATCTGTGTTATTATCTGATAAAGGATAGTTTTTGTTCCTAAAAAAAAAAAAAAAAAAAATTGGAACGAGTTTTTCTATATTTTCTTTCTGAATTAGATATTTATTATTACAGACCATAATTTTCAGTATGTTAATTTGCTTTTCAGATATGTATAAAAATGAATAAAAGACATGTAGTTGTCTGTTGCAGAAACCAGTAAAACACTTTTTGAATTTATTACTCTGTAAAGCAAATTTAAATATAAAATATTTCTATTTTTTTGATACTATTTGCGTTTATAGTAATGTATTTTAATTTAAGTTTATATTAAGTATAATTAGCAAATACTTGATCACAAATTAATTTTAGAACATTTTCGTATTTAATAAAAACATGTGGTAAAGAAGGGTGGATTATAACAGTTGTCTTGACAACTGAATAATTATCGCTTACGTTTATATTTAAGGTTTTTCTTTGTTGAGCTTGTTTTCATTTATTAGAAAACCATTAATTTGAAATAGAGATGAGTGTTAAAGTAGAATTCATAGAAGGTGATTACATTGAACAGGACTTTACTAGATCTGAATCTATCAAAGTGGTTAGGTTTCAGGAAAGTCTTACAAAAAGAAAACGTGGGCGCCCCAAAAAAATAAAGACAGGTAATTTATTTTGGATCTCAATTTAATTTTCTAGGACTACTTATTATTTAAAGCTATAGAATAATACAAAGTCAAAAGTTGCTCACATAACGCAAGTAATGATTGTCAAACCTGAGTCCTATTGATTTCGCTAGTGTCCCCATCTATCGCTTTAAAGAAGTAACTGATGTTCGATTTGATAAAGTAGTTGCCTTTCATTGAGTGTTATCTTTGGTTTTCCTCTCCCGTAAGAGGATTTCTGTAATTTAATGAAGGGAAAAAGATGGGCTCGTAAAATGGTTGCTTGTTAAATAGCAATGTGTGCTAGAATCTTTTTTTGAGATCGATACGTGGTGGGGGTATGAGAGCCTAGCAACGGCCCGATGCGGTTTCTATAGACACCAGAAATCGGCGCCCCTACAACTTAGGTAACTTGATAACAATTAACTGTGACTTATGTTGGCTTTAGCTCAGCTAAAATTCGTGCTTGATTGAGTGTTTTGTGATGATGTTTACCAATTTCTGTTTCATGAATAAATTTTGGCCTTTCACTAAAAGGAGTGCCAATATGGCGTTTTTAAAATATTTTTTTCCTACCAATTAATTTGTCTAAGTTCAGGCTATATGTATCCAATGTTTCTCCTCAAAATGAAGCGCATAACAATATTAAGATCTTCATGCTCAAAGGTTGGGTTATGACAAAAGTCATGATTACATACAACTGATAAGAGCTTGAAGGAACTAGTTGATAAAATTAATATTTTCCAGTTTGTTTGACTATATACTTTACCTTTTTTTCTTTCAGAGTTGAATCAGATGTAAAGTTTGTAATCCAATAGTTATCCTTGTACTGAAAAATATTGTCCCCTGACAGATGCAATATTTAATTCCCTATTTTTTTATTCCTTCACCTGCTGTTATGCTTGGTGTACCATAGGTATTACTCTGTTTATTAAACCGTGTAGAGCACCTGCCATCAAACACATGTTTCTGTCCGTTAATTCTCTATAGATTTTTGGTGCGTTGGATCAGACAGTATTGGCTTAGTTCTCTTCACCATAGTAACGAGTTACAAACAAGATCGCTACTTATTTTCTGGTTAGATTTTCCTCTTTATTATAAAATTGATATTTGACGTGTTTTCATGTTTAATTTAAAGTAATTATCCATTGGTGACAGAACTATTTAAAGTTCCTTGTATTTTATTCAGACCAGTGTAAATAGGTATGTATTTCAATACTTTTTTGTGTTATTGATTAGTAATTATGAATCATTGCTGCAATATTGACATTCATATTTTCATCGAATCATTTATAAGATTTTAATCTGATTTTGTGATATATATATGTGTGCGTGTGTATATATTTATATAAATAAATATTACCCATGTTTTTGAGCTTTAATTTTGATTTAGTTATTGTATTATTTATAACAAATCTCCAATTGTTTATAATTTTATGTTTTATGATATTTCTTTTCTATTTATTTCATGATATTCTTCACAAATAGAACTTGTAAAAAATATCTTAATATTAATAAATTCTTGTATTGAACAATCAATCTGATTTTACTGGTAAACTTTCTATTCCGGCCATAAATAAATTTAAAAACTATGTATTAGAGTGCTACCAATGGGTAGTTTCTCAACAAGCGTTTTCATGTAATTATATTATTACCGTGTGCACATTTACTAGTTGTATTTTTTTATTTTATAATACAGTTGTAAATATCAATGAATAAAAAAAAAAAAAATATATATATATATATATATATATATATATATATATATATATATATATATATATATATATATATATATATATATATATTGTGATTTTGACATCAAAGAATATGCTTATGGTTAATAATTTGCTTCTTTATGTATATATTGGAACAAACAAGTAGAGATAAAATATACTTATCTCTAAAAAGATTCTTTTATTAAACTTATTATGGTGTGTGTTGACATGGTGTTATTTATATTTTTGTTTTAGCTGTAAGATGTCAGTTTGGTACACCTATAATTGGAAGTTAAATTATGCCTGGTGCATTAAGGGATGGCAATAGAAAAAAAAAGTTGTTTTCAATGGACTTAGTATTTTTTTCTTTTTCTTTTCTTGTATTAAGTAGTAAAATGTTCACTGATTAAAAATTTCCACTGTTATACACAACTTTTAATTTCATAAACAGATTATCATCGGTTTATGGCAATAAGTCAGTAAGTATATTTTTGGCGCAGCTGAAATTTTAAGAACCTTATTTATTGATAAAAAAAACACAGTTAGTGCTCTAAAATGATACAAACTTTTATATATCATAGTTACAAGTTCATAATTTTCTGATTTTACAATGGAATGATTTAAAAAGGGGAAATATTTACACATATATTTATATATATATATATATATATATATATATATATATATATATATATATATATATATATATATATATATATATATTCAATAAATGTTTTAAATTTGTTTAGTAACAAACATGATATTGATAACACTTGGCAAGTTTTAGTGTTATCAATAAAAAATTTTTGGAAACACTGTGTATAACCACTAATCTCCCAAAGTTCTTCACTGATTGCATTTGAATTTTGATACATTTCAATCATATTCAGGAGTATTTTTTTGCATATTTCATTAACACTCGGCCTTTTGTTTTGAAATGGTGGGCGATAAACGTGAGCCGCTACAGATTATAGCTAGCACCAAACCAGCTGTAACAATTTTAATGAGACTTGTTTAAAGTCTTCTTGAAGCTCTTTTAATTTATCTTTACAATATAACTTCTCTGAAAAGAGGAAGAAAAATAGTAGTGATGAATTTTATTCTTGAATTACTCAAGAAGTACACATTTTTTAAATTTATTATAACCATATTTATTTGAAAGGTTTCTAAATTCCGTACAAAAAAAAAAAAAAATCGATATCAAAAAGAATCATTGCTAATAGATATTTTATTGCATTTAAAAAAAAATTGTTTATATTTTTTAGGAGAGCTCTATTATGGCAAATTTATGTTTGGAATGTAACTATAGTATGAATGCAATGTTGAAGTGAAACAATTTGTACCAAAAGAGCAAAGTCGGTTCAAGTGTTTTTTGAAGAGAAACCAAATTGAGATTAAATTTCCAAGTTTTCAATAGAAATACATGTTTTGAGGTCTCCTGTGTCTAATAAACCAAGTCCTGCAAAATGGTTTGTGTGCATGTGCAAGTGCGTGTTGCACGACGTTGAAATTAAATATTTAAGGAAAGTGTATGTTTCGGATGTTACAGCCACATTTTCCTTAAAATCGAGAACCGGAGATTCCACTTTAGATCATCAATTACGTATATTTTTTTGAAAATGGCTCTAACAATTTTGATTCAACTCGATATATCAATGTGCAATTAAAAGATATTTAATATCAGGTAGGTCTTATCTCCATTTATGTCACTTAGGGGGCTTAAATGCCCAATATTCACAATTTCTTCCTCTAAAGTACCTTTAATTTGATTTATTTTAAATAATTAACTATCTCTCATTCTTAGCAGTGTTAAAAAAAGGCTTAGTTTAACCTATGAAAGAATTTGATAATTGATTAAAGTAGATAAAAGGAAAAATGTTTTTTTAGGTTGAAATTGAATTTCCGGAAATAATATTCAGAACATATACCTACAATATACCATTGGAAAGCTTAGAATTTTAGAGAAAACAATATCTAACATACAAATTCGTAGAAGATAATGAAAAAATCTGGTGCCTGCATCACACAACTTTCATTTACCACTCTTTTGCTAAAAGCAATTCTTGTCTCACAAAATGGGGCTATTACAAGAAGTTTTCGAAGCACATTTTTGATGCCCCTAAACCTTAAACAATATATTTTTTATTTTTGGTCATATCTATCAATACAAAAACTCATTAAGACCTGTAAAATAACGTAAGCCCTAATTATATCGCTTATAGACAATATTGAATCATCTAACTCCAGTCTGTATAGAGCTAAGCGACTGGAATAAGTAGAATCGTACTACATAGTAAAAATTATATTTATTAAATCTCTATCACTTTCAATATGTATTTAAATTCTTATTTTTTACTCTTGCAAAATTTGCCAAAATAAAGTTGCTTCCTTTTAAGTAGAACATTGATAGGTCAAGTCGTTACACTAATTGTAAGTGACGAATGTTGTGATTTTTCAAAGAAAATTATATTGGAATAAATCGATGATGTATGCCTAATTATTTAAATATAATATAAGATCTAGAGTTATTAAACTACAATAAATGTATTTAAGGTTATAAACATATGTTTTGAACATCCATGAAATATTTTTATATTTCACTTCTTCTTTCACACAAGTGCAATGAAATAGTTTTTTAAACAATGTCATTGCCTTAATTATGTGTATTTTAAATACTTTTTTCAAACTTTTAAAAGTTATATTTAGCTAAGAAATTTCATTTAATTTTCTTGGAAACATGTGTTTTCTGTTAAACAATATTAGTTTTCACTAATATTTTTCGTTACTCTCCATTATCTTCTACGACTTTCTATAGTAGATATTGTTTTTTCTGAAATTCTAAAATTTCCAATGATATATTTTTTAATAATAATAATCTTTATTGCTCAAAAGTACAAAACTTTATAGCAAGCAGTTGACTAAATTAACATTTTAAACCTCTGTTAAAAATACATCCTCATTGATAAAATACAGAAAATGTATGTATGTGTGTACAATTACGTTTTCAGTTCCAACACAGTACAATAAAACATAATAATACAATGAAATAAAAAAAATATATATATTCACTAATGCAATACAAATAATTATACAATGGAACAGAACAATACAGTGAAACAATATATTTCTGTTTTGAAACTTCCTCAAGGTTCTTCTTCAGCCATTCCTTCTAAGCCTAATAATAAATTTCTTGATTTAAGCCAACGGCAGAAATAGTGACACAGTTTATTGAAATATTTGTTTTCTATACTTGAGGAAGCTTACACACAATTTATGGACAGC